TGAAGAGATTTAGCATAGCATAATCCAATATAACTAATGTCCTTATAAGAAGAGGAGAAGAGACAGAGGTGAGGTGGAGACAATGCCCTGTGACAACATGGTAGAGATCGAAGTGCGGTAGCTCAAATGCCAAGGATTGTCACAGATGTCCAAAAACTAAGAAGAAGCAAGGGAATATTCCTCCAAAGCTTTCAGAGAAAACCTTGCCAACACCCTCCCTGACTTGGGACTGCTAGCCTCTGTAACTATGAGATAGTAAATTTCTGTTGTCTTAAGCCACCCATTTTATTGTACTTTGTTATAGCAGCCTGGTGGAACTAATACAGGCTTCTAATAAGATGTTCCTGATTTTAAAAAAGAAACTGAAAACTACTAAATTCTGTATTTTTCAATGTATCTAAAAATTTCACTTAAATAAAATATCCCACTCATGATCAAGCTGAATAAATAAAACCCTGACTAATTTACAATTTCCCAGCTAATTAGACTCATATGGATGTCATATACTTGTATAACTACTTTCAGTATCTCTCCTAAAGAGTGTTCTTCTCGCTGTTAATGAAATAAATGTTTAAGTTTTCCATTTTGGTTAAAAGTTACTTTTCCTTTTTAGAATGTCCAAGTGTAGGAATAAGGTACATACATATTTTAGTTTGTGGTTTTCTTGCAAAACCCAGCATCTCAGCAAAAACTGCTATTAGCATTTCAAATTTACCATAATTTAAAGAAAGGCGGGAAGTATAGTTATGAGAATGGAGCCCTAAAATATATTTATTCCAAAGAACTCTAACATATTATCATCTGAAATTTTTGTAATAAAAGTAAATTAACTCTACCATTTATAATAAGATGTTCCTTTGAGAGTCTCAGGAGACCTGATTCCCTCTACAGCTAACAATATAACCAAACATATGTAGTGTTGGTGTTTATAATACCTGGCACTGGTATAACGGTTGCATTTACGGTGTTTTATTATGGACTTGAACACAGATAACTTTTTAACCACAACCACATCTTTTTAGCAGTATTTACAATAAAAGCACATTAGAGGTACATTGTACTTTTCCATTATTAAAGACCTTTTAAGTATATGACTCCACCTGACCTACAAAATTATAATTTTAAATAAGAGAAAGTAAATATTATCATCTCTGTTTTCTAGTTGAAGAGACTGATGCTTAGCGATCCACCCAGGTCATACAATTAGTAAAAGTTAAAACCAAGTCTTTCAATCCCTGGGTGGGGAGGATCCCTTAGAGAAGGAACGGTAACCCACTCCAGTATTCTTGCCTAGGAAAGCACATGGACATAGGAGTGTGGTGGGTTACAGTCTACGGGGTCAGAAGAGTTGGACATGACTGAGCAACTAAACAACAACTTCTGACTCTGAATCTAAAATGTAGCTTTTATGAAGCCTGGATTCTATCTAAATCAGACAGAAGGTTTAGGTAACTACAGAGTTCACAGCTTCTAAGGAAAAGATAGTGATTCGTATCTCAATTCGCTTTTTAAAAAAAGAGCTAGTACATGCTTTTCTTATCTTGACATGATACCCTGTAGAAACTCTTATAATCTAAAGAAACTGAAAGATGCAGCCTTAGCTTGGCCCTTTAATGTCTGTTTCAGAGGTGCCTACCTAGAAGAGGCCAGCCTTGGACCTATGGAGAGAGAAGGGGCTGTGCTCATCCCAGTGGGGCCCCTCAAAAGAGGATACTGAAGTGGCCAGAACTACGATTAAAATGAAACAAAGCCCTGCAAATGCCGTCCTCTCCTTTCTGTGCTCATGAGGCAGGTTGAACAGTTAGTTGATAAAAACTACAAAATTACATGAGCTACTTCTTTCTAGATGCAGAAAAAACACAGGCAGTAAATTCCAGAAAAAGAAAGGTGGGATTTCTGATTTAAATGTTTTTTTCCCAGGACTGTTATCTCTTTAGGATCAAAATAAGAAGCTACTTCACTCTTGCCCATGGTCTCTGGTCACATGAAAGATGTATTCCACAGTGCCACTATGGTCAAGAGGCACATCCTAGAAATACTGGGGGTGCAGTATACTCTTGTGTTTATTCTGAATACATTGACTTTTCCTAAGAAACATTTTGAAAGATGAACATGACAAGCAAGGGACATTTCATGTTTGGAAGTACAGGCATTTCTGGTACTAGGTCTTCTTTTAATCCTTTAGTCTCCTTCAACAACAAAAAAACATAACCCCATTGAAAAATAGGCAGAAAAATGAAATAGACATTTCTCCAAAGATATACAGATAACCACTAGACACATGAAAAGATGCTCAACATTGCTAATTATTAGAGAAATGCAAATCAAAACCACAATGTGGTATCTCCTCACACTGATCATCATTAAAAAGTTTACAAATAACAAATGCTGGAGAGGGTGCGGAGAAAAGGGAACCCTCCTTCACTGCTGGTAGGAATGTTAAGTTGGTACAGCCACTATGGAAAACAGTATAAAAGTTGCCCAGAAAATTAAAAATAGAATTACCATATGACCAGGCAATCTCACTCCTGGGCATATATTCAGACAAAACTATAATTCAAAAAGATACATGTACACCTATGTTCACAGCAGCACTATTCACAATAACCAAGACAAGAAAACAACCTAAATGTCCATCGACAGATGGATGGACAAAGAAGATGTAGTGCATATATACACTGGAATATTACTCTGTCATAAAAAAGAATGAAATACTGCCATTTGCAGCAACATGGATGGACCTAGAGATGATCATACTAAGTGAACTAAGTCAGAAGGACAAATACCGCATGATATCATTTGTATGCAAAATCTAAAATATGACACAAATGGACCTATTTACAAAACAGAAACAGACTCACAGACATAGAAAATAGACTTCTGGTTGCCAAGAAGGGTGGGGAGGGATGGACTGGGAAATTGGGGGGTTTGTAGATGCGAACTATTACATATAGAATGGATAAACAACAGGGTTCCTACTGTATACCACAAAGAACTGTATTCAATATCCTGGAATAAACCCTAATGGAAAAGAATATAAAGAAGGAATGTATATATGTGTATAACTGAGTCACTTTGCTGTACAGTGGAAATTAACATAACATTGTAAATCAAGAATACTTCAATAAAAAATAAATTTAAAAAATCCTTTAGCTTCCTGAGTTACCTTATTACTTTCAGCTAAGTCCTAGGCCCTTTTCCTATCTTGAGCCTGTTTCCCCACTTTCTGAAGGAAAGGGGAAACCCGAGAGCCAAAGAAAGTGAGCCTGGAGGAGCCCCCCTGAGGCTCCCCACACAGGGACCTTTGGAAAGACTGCTCGCCCTTCGTGGTTGAGTAGGCAGGGGCCAAATGGCCCGGAAACTGCTTCTCCAATGCCACACACCGTTTGCCCTGGAGAAACATCACTCCCTAGTTTTCTACCTCCGAGGCTGCCAAGTATCTTTCAAGAATAAAACTGCTTCACTCTTCACAGGACAAAACACCTCTGAATGGTATGGAATGAGATGGCCCAATAAACACCATTTTGTTAGGATAGGCAAACAAAATTGAATCATTATATTCTTTATCTATTTGTTTTTTATTTGTCTCAAGTCAGTTAATTTCTTTCAGTCGTAAATGAGAATTGGCAGAATACAAAATCTCCAAAGAAATATTACCTGCAGCATTTATTTGTTCAAACTGTTAGTGATTCATCAACACATTGACTTGCCCCAATGGAAGGAGCAAAGTCACATAAAAGTAGTAGAAAGTAGTAAGTTATTCCTGCACTTATTTTTCACTTACTTGATATGCACTACAGAACTATTTTTCATACAATAAGAAAATCGCATATCACAGGCCCGTAACAAGTTTAAAGGGACAAACAAATTAAACATGTTAAGGGTTCTTTTCCATTTAGGGTGAAAGTTACACCGAACAGAATGATCTCGAAGTGCTTTATGTGAATTACCTCACAAGATGATTTAGGAGATCCATAAAACACACTCTGTAATTGCATACAGTATGACTGCAAAAGCACCTTGATAGCACTTGACCCTTTGTTATTAAAATCCTAATCCATTAGCCGTTACTGCTTATTACATAACAACCAGTAGGTCTTGTAAAACACACATTTACAGGAACCACAACAGCATTACTAAAGCTCATACTTCAGGTTTGTAATAACTCTACGATGAACAAAGCTGAGGTATGAAAACCACAGGACTAAAAAGCGTCAGAACTGATCTGAGACTTTCAAAGGCAAAGTCATGGAATGCCACCTCAAATATTGCTACAGAAATTTTCCAAGAAAACGACCTTTTACTTACCGAAATAAGCTTTTTGAAAATTAAAATCGATTGCCTTTTTCAAGTTCAAAATCACTCACAGGTTATTTATAAACTAATCCCTAACTGGGAATATTTCCTTATGAGCCAAAAGAAGCTTGCTTTCTTCCTAGTATGAACCTGAGGAAAATTTATGAACACTTTCTCTTGTGCTCACAAGATAAACAAACAAAATAAAACCAAAGGTTCTCCTTAATTTAAAGCCCACTCAAGAGTCTATCAAACTGTGAAACTACCACACATTTTATTTTTTTATCATACATAATGTGTGCATGCGCACACACACACACACAGACATGTGTCTTCATCAAAACAAATACGTACAAAACAATCCAAACTTAGACATTAATTTCAAGTTTCAAGACAAATACATATTTTCCCCAAGGCAAAGGAAAATATAAGTCTAAAAATTACATTAAGCATATTGGTAAAATTAAATAACATAAAGTTTAGCTTTTTACTCTAGAACTCTACTTTTGATAACTGATACCTTTAAGGAAGATATAAATTAGGTTCGGTTGATGAAATAGCATACTACTTAATTCATACCTTTAAAAATCATTAAAAATTGGGACAGAGCTTTTGAGGAATTTCCAGACACTCAAGTTACAACAAAAATAGTAATTACGATTTTAAGAGCAATAACTCTTGCCTTAGGACTGACATTCTGTTTACTTACAGACTGTCCATTTATCCCCCGGGGGTCTTCCATTGAAGATTTCTTCTCCCGAATTATATATGGGCTATTAGCTCCACACTTCTTCAAAGACTTCCAACACCCCAGCACCTGTGATGAACAGAGAATCAAGCAGCCGTATTAATTGTGTGGCATGAAATTAAGGACCGATCTTTACATCTGCAGCTTTCCATTCACTAGCATGTATACACAAGTCAGGAATGCTTACCTTCACTGAATGAATCTTTAAAATAAATATTATGGGCTCACTGTTTATCACAATTTACATGAGCCAAATGTGGTCAAATTATAGCTCAGTGTGTCTGCTGTCAGCAGCTGCAGCCCAAGTTAAAAAAAAAAAAGAATGAAGAGGGCAGCTAGGGAGCTTTCCACACACATTATTCCTGAGCCCAACTATCCGAGAGCCCTTTTTCTCTTTTCTTTTTTCTTTTTGAAATTGGTTTCTCCACACTATCTATCAATGTCAGCTGTACCACAATGCCAAGAGGAAATACTAACAAAGAAATATGACTGTAGTCTGAGGGAGAATAAAAGAGAAAAATCTAGAGTTGAGTGTTTTACCCTCAGGGCAAGGATATTATTATACTATTTCTTAGCAAGTTTACTTAGGTCACAGTTTCACGGCTGATCAATTCTGAAACTTCAAGAGACTCAACACCTTCAAGAAGAGTGGGATTTGGGGATGCTGCAAGATATAGACGACAAATGTAGTATTTTGAAATATATTCTATGGTTGGTTATCTTCAAATAGTAGCAATATAGCCACCAAGCTGCCTAATCTCATTTCCTAACTCTTAGAATTAATTTTCATACTCAAATTCAAATGAGGAAGCAAAATAAAATCTCAATTTTTCTTGCTTGGTCTTAGGAACTAAGAAATTAATCTACACTCCTCACATCAACTTCAACACAGATATGTAAATAGACATGAAAATTTAAGCAAAAAAACCCCACAATCTTAGTATCACTCAAGGTAATATTATAGAACAGAGAAGATAGAGTCATGTAAACTTCAGAATCACTTCTTATAAAGGTACTTGAACTTCTGCGTGTAGGAATGGTAAGAAAACCACTGCAGCAGAAGTTGAGAGATCTGAATTCAGGTTCTGACTCTGCCACTAACAAGTGGAATGACCTCGGGCAAATGATTTGGCTTCCTGAGCCTCAGTTTTATTATTTGCAAAATGGGAGACTTGAACTGGATGATAGCTTAGATTTTAGATTTATAATTTAATGAAAGTATGCATTTACACACATGATTTTCAGGTAAAATATTCCAAGCTTGGCTCATTTGGGATGTAATTTTGGAATGCCGGAGTAATTCTCATTTATGATACGACTTTTTGCTCACAATTATCAAGATTGGACAACATATGCCTTATTCACTGTAAACACAAAAGTGATGCTTTTTGGACAGTATAAGACTTATAAATAACTAGCTCCTAAAATCTGGATAGTCCTTAGTAGAGCAGAATATTCCTGTAGTTTTAACAAAAAACAATGTCATAATTTCAGGCTACAAGTAAATAAAAATCATATAGATATGTTTAAGTCCTGCTAACCCAATAAAACACAATACACGACTCTATTTTGAATTGCACAAAATTTCAAAACCAAATCTTAAAATCTACCGCCATTGCTTTCAGAGGATTTCTCGCCTAATTAGGGAAAAGATATTATAGAAACCAGAGTTTTGTGTGTTTTTTTTTTTCATGGCTTATTTTATTCTCTGGAGGCAAGTTAACATTTGCAGGCGATAAAGTAGTATTTTAAAATAATGATAATAATTCTGCCTTACATTGGTAAAACACTTTACAGTTTACAAAGTGTTTTCACATAAATCGCCCACAGTGCATTTATATGTGGTGAGACAAAGTCCAGTCTCATTCCTCACAGAAGGAGGCAGGCCCAAGACAAAGCCCCCTCTGATTTCCCCTAAATTCCCATCCTTTCCATACCTGTCCTGAGAACATGTTTCAATCAAAGCCTGTACATTTGATATTCCAGGATTATTTCCCATGTGTTTCTTTTCCATATTTCCATATTGAACTTACTGAACAGTTTAAGGTATTAAGAATGGTCAAGTTACATGAGCATGAAAGGTATTTCATCCGTCATTTTATTTCTTCTGAAGATGAAATTATTCTGTAGTAAGTACTATGTTTGTTATTGTTTCCTGGGCTAAAAAAGAAAAGATTGAGGTTATTGAGAAACCAAAAGAGTCAGCATTCATCTAGTTCAGGTAGATGTCTCCACTAAGAAAGACTCCCACTCACAAATCACAAAATCACAGAGACCCATGGACTTTATTTACAAATCCTCCTGCTTGCTAAATCAGCATAGTTGTTTCCAGATTTCTACATGTCAATCCAAACCATGAAATACATGCCATGACTGGGTCTACTGATATTTAGGAGCCTGGCTCTGGTAAGCCCTTAACTCCCTTGTTGGACTTGGTCTTTCATGGTTTATAAATAAGCCTGCCCCCATTACAGCACTTATCTAATGAGACTGTCATTATTTCTCTACCTGTCTCCACCACTAGATTGTAGCTACATGAGGCCTAGGACCATGCTTCCCTCTCTTGTTCTGATCACATATGGCACTCATTAAATATTTTGAATGAATGAATGAATATTATTGATACATGACAACTTCTGGATACATGTAAACTATGAGCTAGAAGTAGATGGGTAGTTAAATGGTGGTGCCATCCTTCAATCAAAAAATGACTCATCGTATTTTAGGTCTTCAACATTTGTTCAAATACCCTAAGAAACAAGCTCAAGAAAAAACAGGTTAGTTGATTACTATTTATCTACCTGCTTATCTACACATTACACACATAAAGAACAGCTATTCATAAAACTATATAGACCTAAAGAGTACTTAGAGTTGGACTTCAAAGAGATTTTGTCTAAACTAAGGTGGTTCCTAGAAAAAAAGGAATAGAAGAATGTCCAAGGAGGTTGATCTAAGTGTAGGATGGAGAGGGAAGATGTACGCTGACAGAAGGATTGGTGACATGAAATTTGTGGAGATTTGTAAAGCAGTATGGACAGGTGTCGTGGTATCAAAAGTGTCCCTACATGGCCAGGTGCCATAAACCCCAATCCATATACATTGCATTCATAGCCCCAGGCCATGTGCCCACTTTGGCATCTGGTGCTGAGCAGAAGCAGGCAGATGACAAGAGGGACAGTGGGAGGATCTGGGCAATAAGAAACAGGAAATACTGACTCTGTATGTACTGACATTTCAAGCACCTGAAGGAGCTACGCCTTCTTCAGTCCCAATCCTCTGGACTGTTGATGAAACACCATGGAAAAGTAAACTTACATAGACTCTTATGACACAAGATTAATGGAAGCCTTAAGAATTTCCTTTATATTTGCCACTCTTAGCGGAGTGGGGTAGGAAGGAGCTGAAATCATTGTAGACACACCAGCAAAGAAACAATGGCAAATAAATGTTAGATGTACATGCTGATAAAAGATGCTACGGAAAACACCAAATCAAGACTACAATTTGACAAATCTTGCAATCACATAAAACTCCCTTTGGGGGCCCAAAGGCATTATGAAATTGCACCCCTGGTGATTACATTACAATGATACCTATAGACCCATATTTGGAAATATTTCATGCTCCACTGCAACTAACAAGCTCATTGTTAAAATACAGAAATAGTTCTAGATACAGAAAGTTTTTGAGGCTTCCCTGGTGGCTCAGTTGGTAAAGAGTCTGCCTGCAATGCAGGAGACCCAGGTTCAGTCACTGGGTTGGGAAGATCCCCTGGAGAAAAGGAAATGGCAACCCACTCCAGTATTCTTGCCTGGAGAATTCCATGGACAGAGGAGCCTGGTGGGCTACAGACAATGGGGTCACAAATATAGGAGAAAAATACATCTATTCCATGCAATCCTGCTATAATTTAAACTCTTCCCAATTCTATAAACACCCTTGCTACTTAAAAAAAAAAAAATTACTCAAGAGCTTTGAACCTCAAGTTTTCTGGGTTCTGGTAAGTCCATATTCACGACCCCACATTGACACTTCCTATTCTTTTCCCACCCATTTTCCAACTGCTAGGCAGTTGATAAAATAAGCAACAGCACCTCATTTCACCTGTAAAAATTATCTCACTTTTACTTTAGTTCTAGCTCATCAAAAAGTAAAAGTAGTGTGCAGTGTAGTAGCATATGTGCTCAGTTGTGTCCAACTCTGCGACCCCATGGACTGCAGCCACCAGGTTCCTCTGCCCATAGGATTGCCCAGGCAAGAATATTGGAGTGGATTGCCATTTCCTTCTCCAGGAGATCTTCCTGACCCAGGGCTCAAACCTGAGTCTCTTGAGTCTCCTGCGTTGGCAGGCAGATTCTTTACCATCATCAAAAACATTCTGACTATTGTCAGATCAAAAGATTGGAAGATGAGAAGCTGAAATAAGTGTGCAAGTTACAGAGCCATGAAACAGAGAAAGGGTCTAGTTAGGCAGGTGCATGGAATAGACTTTCCAGATTGAAGAAAAACAAGGTGAGGGTGGAGGTGGTGATTAATATGATTGGGAAGAAAATAATCCTTTCACAAATTTTACACGACACATATATTTAAATTTTTCCTGCTGGTTCTAAAAAAAAAAAGGTGGGGGGGTTTAGTTTAGATGACATATAAATCATCTCTAATGAACCAGGACCCATCAGACACTGTTAGTAACTTGCAGCTCCTTGGATGAAAGAGTATTTTCATTACAACACACCATCACTTTCATCTTTGCCTTCTCACCAAGTGTTGAGTTTTCTAGCATTCCTGAGAAGTAGAAGGAAACTAGTGGCTGAACACTGCTTTGTAGAAAAGAAAAGGGCTATTCTGAAATATGTCCCCAGAAGACCACAACTGCAGATTGAATAAACATATCAAATCAAGGGGTCTTTAAGAAAATTTACAAACAGAAGCCTGCAGTGAAATGAACCATTGGATAAATGACCTCCAGAGACTTCTTCAACTCACTATTCCCTGAGTGGCTGTGTCTCAAAGTGGCTTCTTCTTTGCTTTCCTCACCTTCTTCAGAAATTCGGTTATATCAGGGG